CATATATATATATAAATAGTTTACTTGGCACTACATATTCCGATTTAGTTTAGGAACATTTACATAATGTACAAACAGACAATAAGTACGTACACATATACTTAACAGATTTATCAGATACGACTACGGCAAAGTATGGAAAGGATATATAGAAAGTATAGGATCAAGTCGGGCTGGGTCTATAGAGGGGTAAAAATAGGTTCAAGCACTTTGAGCACTTTTCTTTAGAATTGAAATTCCATAAGCTAAGTTCAGAGAGAGAGAGAAAGAGAGCCAGAGATAGAGACAGAGGCATTATCATGTTTAGACAGAGATTTCCTGAATATGTACACGTTTCTTGCCGCTGCTCGAGCTGCTGCCTCCACCTGCAGCGCCCGTCTGACGCAGGATTCCCATTTGCTGCTGCTGTTGTTGTTGTTGTTGTTGCTGCTGCTGGGCTGCTAGAAAGGAGCGTGGTGGAGGCGGCGGCTCTGGTATATCATCGTCTCGCATGATATCCGAATCGCCGCCAGCGCCGGTAGCTGCCTTGACGGCATCCTCAATGGCCTTGAAGGACATTTGGTCGGACGACTGCACCGCATAGTCAAACTGCAGCTGTCCACTAGTGTCCAGGAAGGAGCCGCGCTTGCTGCCCGGCGCAGAGCTCACCGGATTCGGGCTCGTCTCTATGACCGTTGCCAGCGTTGGCAGCGCATTGTAGCTGACCATCTCGATGTGCGAGGTGCTCGGTGCTGCCCCATGGATCGCGTGCACCGCTGGCCGTGTTTTCAGCAGATCCAGCGTGCTGGTGGAGCATGCCTCCCAGTTGTCCATCAGCAGCGTTGTCTGCGCCGTGTGCGGCTGCGGCGGCAGCTCGACGAGCAGCTTATCCTCCTTCATCTGCTTGGTCTTCTCATCGTAGCAGCTGTACTCGCCAAAGACCATGCCCATTCCGCCCTTGGCGTCCACAACGCCGCCGCTCAACGTATAGGCATCGCTGCCATCGCCCGCACCCGCCGTCGCATTCAGCTTCAGTATGCTCGAGTTCTTGCTCGTGTCGCTGTCCTGCAGCTCCTCCTTCGTCTTGGCATCGCGTGCCCGCTTCTCCCGCTGATGATAGATGCCCGCAAAGATCAGCACATTCAGTATGAGCAGAAAGCAGCCGACGGCCACAGTGGCAATCAGTGCCGTGGTATAGCTCTGGAACTGTTTGCCACTGAGCCGGCGCAGCAGCTCCAGATTGCCAATGATGCCCGTCGATGCGGTGGCCAAATCCTTGTGCGTCTCCACCTGTCCGTGGGTGCGATTGTCCTTCGGTGCTTGGGTGGTGGTGGTCAGCTCCGACACGGACATGGCGCCATCGATGCCGCATTCTGAAAGAGTTGTTAGGGGACCGATTTCTAATGGAAGCATATGATTACGTTACCTGTTGTGGCAGTTGCACCTGCGGCGCCTAAAGCGTTCGTTGCATTCATCATCTCCTGCTTTGAGGTCGTCGGCGGCGGGGCAGCTGTGGTGCGAGCCGTTTGCACAATGATGATGTTATCATCCTCCGCTGGCTTCGTTTGCAGCTGGGGACGCACCACACCTGGGCAGGTAAAAGACGAAGGCGTTAGCTTTGGCTTCAGCTTGCTGGCTATATCAGCGGCTTACCTTCGTATAGATCTCGACTGTTGAGATCGTCCTGGAACTGATGATGCCGCATCGACTGATCGTTGATGTTGAAGTGCCGATGCAGCTGAGGTATGAGATTCAGCCACATGGAGAGCTTGTGGCCACGGTAATGGCTCTGAATGTTGGCCTTGTTGCCTGAAACGAAGATTGAGGAGATTTAGCAAAGAGATTAGCTAGGCACTCAGCCTACACCTACCCAGCTCAATGTACAGCTGATTGACCACATCGTAGGCATCCCAGAAGGGCAGCTCATCGCCATCATAGTTGCCCAGCTCCAGCTCAGTGCTCAGGCTCTGCTGCGGCGCGTTGGCATCGTTGCTGCGCAGACGTCGCCGTACGAAGGTGCGCTTCTCGTGCATGGCATTGCTGCGACGCTGGTTGTAGAGGACGGCCAGGTTGAGCGCCTCACCGGTGGCCAGTGCATCCTGATACCTGGGCGCCGAGCGTTTCCGCTGTGGATGCAGAGCGGCTCGACTCTGGCTGGCAGTAGGCAGGGCTTGGCCCGTTGTGGAATGGTTCGGATTGCTAAGGTGAGGAGAAGATGGTGAGAATTAATTGAGAATCCATTTCTCTATCACCTGAACTTACCCTGTCTTGGCAAAGTTGGCCAGGTAGCGCAGCATCAGTCGCCCGATTTGATGCTCCTGCGCGGTGTAGTTGTGGGGAAAGAGGGGAGAGACCGGCAAGCCCAGCCAGAAGGGCACATCCTCGCCGTGCACGGAGCCAGTTCGCTGTCGAATTGTGAAGGTCATCAGGTCAGGTCAGGTCAAGGTCAAGGTTAAGGGGTCAGCTATGCGCACTAAGTGTACCCACCTGTGGATATTCATCCTCCACCGTACGATGCTTGAAGTGCACAAAGTAGGTCCGGCCCCCACGCAAACTGTGCATGTAGCCCAGCTTGATGAGGGGCGACGCCGTATGCCCGTCGCTCAGAAACTGCAGCGTGGCATCCCGCGCGCTCAACGGGTTCCTGATGGCCTTCTCCCAGTCCGTGTACTCGTTCTGCAAATGTTAGTGGGGTGGCAAACTGTAATTGAACACCTGAGCTCTTGGGCATTAGGGCTTCACGCTTACCTTGAGCACCGCAAAAATCTCATTCAGATGGTAATGGAAATTGTTGCGCACAAATGTTCGCAAAATGCGATCCCTGCGCGTCTCATTGAAACCAAACTCCAGATCCTGAGCGCTCAAATCCAAATACGACTCTACAGATGTCAGACAGAACATCAGATCACGTTTGGGAAAGTTGGCATATTCAATTCCTGAAGTACTGATTGATGATTGAGGGGGAGCGAGAGGGGGAGAGGGAGAAGTAAGTTGAAGTTTACTTTTACACGAGTTTGACCTACCTAACTATCGCTGAGCCCAGGGGCAGGGCTGTGCTGGACATGGCATCCGTTTTGGGCGTGATGACAGTGCCGTCCACAAATGGCGCGAAGCCAACAAGAAAACTGAAAGTATGTAAGGTTTGCTGTAGTCTCATGTGCTTATATGACAGAGAAAAGTTGCTAGGAATTCTTAAAGGCTTCAAGGCAAATTAATATAAATAGGCAGATTAATGTACTAAATATTAAATAAAATAGGAGCATTGTGCCCTCTGAAATTGTATTATTAAATATTAATTATTGTTAAATATTAATAACTTTGTATTATTATTAATAATTTCCCATTGGAAATGGAAATTAATTTATTTTTCCCCCAAGTATTTCTTCTTTTCTCTAAGGGTTTTCTCGACGTCTTTTCTTTAAGTATTTCCTCTAAGTATTTCGTCTAAGTATTTCCTCTAAGTATTTCTTCTAAGTGCTTCCTCTAAGTATAGCCTCTACATATTTGCTCTAAGTTTTTCCCTTAAGTATTTCCTCTGACTTTTTGCTCTACGTATTTCCCCCAAGTCTTTCCTCTAAGTATTTCCTCTCTAAGTATTTCCTCTAAGTCTTTCCTCCAAGTCTTTAATGCTTAGCTGAACGACACACTTCACTTTACTCCACTGCACGGCTGACCCCGACTGAAGAAATGCTGCAGCAGCAGCCCTTTATAAGGGGCGACGTTCACTCAAAGCATTAGTCGCTCTCAAATGTTAAGCTCGGCACCAGGTAGAGAGTCGAGTCGCAGCCGAGTTGCAGTCGACCTTTAAGTGACCAATGGGAACCTCTCTCTCTCTGCTGCTGCTAGCATTCGAGCTTCGTATTACTCGAATAAAAATACGAAATTAATACTGCTGCATACATTAAACGATCTTCTGTAGTTAGGCACACAGAGAGAGCGGCTATGAAGAGGCAGACTGAGAGACAGACACATA